CCCCCCCCCCCCGCGCCAGGATAAGGCTTCCTTGTCTCCGCCTCAGGCCTCCTGCCTTCCTGAGCCACAGGTGCGAAGGTTCTGGAGCTGCACGATGAATGCAAGTGTGTACTGCACCCAGCTTGGGAAAAGCAGTGCTTGCTGGGGAGGGGAGCCCTAAGCCACCAAAAAGAGGTGAGCTACGGGGAAGGATTTGAGAAGCAGTCTGGGACTGGCTCTCCCCTCCCCCTCCTTTTCTCCCCTCCCCCTGAATTGATTTCTTTAGTCCTTAGAAGCTTGCAAACCTTAACAAAACAAAGAACTACCTTTGTGGAAGACTTACTATTCATGAAAATGCAAATTATATCGTCATTCTCCAATGTCCCCTTCCCTCAGGGAGGATAGTACCCAAAAGAGGTTGAGAGCGAGCCATTCTTTGTACTTGGTTGGAATATAAAGATGTTCTGCACTGCATAATCCTTTTTGGAGTCCGGAAGAGTATAGGATTAGAGCATTCTTCGAGACACACACCTTATTTTCGTTGACTGTTCTCACATTTACGGAGTGCTCTCTGCTACTGTCAAAGGCTGTCTCAGTTAATCCAGTCAACATCCCTACAGGGAAGGGGTCCACATCCCTTCTCTTTGGACGAAATGGAAGTCTGGAGAGGTTCATTCATTCAACTAGTGTTTATTGTTATTGGTCACTTACTGTATGCCAGGCACTGTCTTAGGCTGGGGATGGTGACAGTAGTAAACGAACCAGAAACAGCCCTGCCTTGTCAAATATATTTGTCCTAATCACTGACAAGACAGGTAAATAAGAGTTTGGTGTGTCCAATAAGCATTTCAGAGAATACAAAAGCAAGGTAAGGAGAAAGGAGGGGTGTTTGGGAAAGGCTTCTTCTCTCCTGTGCATTTTGAGCTCAGACCTGAAGTGAATGAGAGAACTAGCTGTGGAGATAGAGGGAGAGCGTTACACACAGTATCAAATACAAAAGTCCCAAGGCACAAGGTTCTGGGACAATTTGGAGTGTGAGAGAAAGAGAGCAAATTCAGTTTTTAGCCTGAACAAGTGGAAGGGAAGTTTTCCCTGTTTATTGAGATGGAGAAGGCTAAAGTGTAGGCTTATTTATTGTCAGGTTGAGAGTTAAGGAATGAATAAGTGTGATTTTGGTTAAACTTGAGATGTCTATTATAGGTTTAAGTAGAAAGACTAGCTAAACAATTGGATATATTAGTCTAGGCTTTATGAGAATCCTACAGCAGGTATGATTATGGGAGTTGTCAGCAGGCTGACAATGAGGTGAAACTTAGCAGAGGCAGAAAGCCAACAAAGAAGGGTTCTAAGGACTGAGTCCTAAATGCGCTCGCTGGTGTTTACAGGTTGGAGATTGAATCATTTCCTTCTTTACACAGTATTTAGTGCTACTGCCCACCAAGTACTGTCCTCGATGCTAGAGATTTAGGTACAAGGCATCAAAAATCCTGTGCTGTTGCACTAGTAGTGTAATTTCATTGCAGAACAGTTGTCTAGCCTGCACAAAGCCCTGGGTTCAATCCCTAGCACTGCAAAAGAAGGGAAAAAAAAAATATATGCTGTCATAAAATGTACGGTGTGGAGGGGGCACAGCGCCCAAGGAAGACACAAAGATTGTGCTATGGAGGAAACTGCAAAGGTGGGAATGAGGTGCTCAGGCAAAGGAGATGGCATCTTGTGAGGTGGCAAGAAGATGGTACTTCATCAGTGACCTGGAGGAAGCAAGGAAGCCATGCAAGTGTGGGAGAAGCCATGAGGAGGGAGGCAGAAATCACAGATACTTGAGAAGATCTTCAGGGAAATAAAAGAACCAAGGAAAGGCTGGGATGTAGCTCAGTGGTAAAACACTTACCTAGGGTGTGTGAGGCCCTGGCTTCCAGCCTCAGTTCTGCAAAGGAAAAAAAAAATGAATCAAGGAAAGGTAGGAACTTTGGATTCCAAATGATGAAAATCAAGACAAAGAAATTGATGAAGTTGAACTGCCCATGGAATTTAACATTGGTAACCTTCAGGAGAGCAGAAGGGTAAGGAAGAAAGCCCATTGCTGCTGAGATGCTGTCCAGGGTTACAGTGGAGACAGGTACAACCTAGCTGGAACACATCATCTGGCTCCAAGCCAAGGCTCAAGTCCATTCCACATGCCACCTCTTCTATACTCCCCCCCATGTTAGGACGTCCTGTGTTTGTATTTTGTCCCACCCTTTCTGGGTGGTGGGAGAGGTACTGGCATGAGGGGTCACGGGCACTTCACTGAAGCTCTTGACTGCCAAGCTGACACAAGATTGGCCTGTGCCAAGCTGGAAGGAGTTTCTGTCCTGTCTGAGCTTATGACCCACATACACAGAAGAATGACACCTAGCCCTATTGCAAGACCACCATCATTGCAAATGCTCTAGAAACATCACGGATGGAGAACTTCTGTAGTTGTGTGCTAGGTCCTGTGGGGGACAATAAGATGGTAAAGTTTGGCCAGAGGTGGTGGTACATGTCTGTAATCTCTGCACTCAAGGCCCTGAGGCAGGAGGCTCACCATGAGTTTGTGGTCAGGATGGGCCTGGAGTACATAGCAAGACCTTGTTTCTGGGGGAAAAAACGCTGTACAGTCTGGAAGTCAGATACAGGTGTTTTTAACAGGAGGTGGAGGAAGCTGTTTCCAGAAGCCTGTTGGGGATGACCATCTGTTAGGGAGGTCTGAGTAGGTATACAGAGGCCAGAGAGCTTGGAACACATAGTCTCATGGGAAACATGAAGTCCTAACACCCAGGACTTGAGAAATTATAGAGGCAAGAGTAAGAATGATGATAAGCACACGGGCATGTATGTATATATTGTTTTGTTTTGTTTTGTTTTTGTTTTTTGAGACAGGGTCTCACTATGTAGTTGAGACTGACCTGGAACTCACTACGTATCCCAGGCTGGTCTCGAATTTACATTGATCCTCCTGCCTCAGCCTCCCAAGTGCCAGGATTATACTTGGAGTGTGCACTTGCGTGTGCCACCATACCCAGCTATAAATGTCCTTATTAACAGTACCCTCACCCTTGTTCTGCAGTGACTCAACAGGAAAAGACCCCGCTGCCTCGGCCCAACCTGCTGGAGGCAGGTGGTGATGGCTGTGAGGAGCCCAAACAACAGATGTCTTGGGAGCAGGAGTTCCTGGTGGGGAACAGCCCAGGAGGCAGTGGGCGGGCACTGTGCATGGTGTGTGGGGCCGAGATCCGGTCCCCCTCAGCAGACACTGCTCGCACACACATCCTGGAGCAGCATCCCCACACTCTGGACCTGAGCCCCTCAGAGAAGAGCAACATCTTGGAGGCCTGGAGTGAGGGGGTGGCTCTTTTGCAAGATATCCATGCTGAACCACCATCTCCACCAACCTTAGGTAGCGGAGTGGGAGCAGGGACCGGCAGAGGGAGAAACAGGGCTGGTGGGAGCCCTGGCAGCTCAGCAGGCTTTTGCCCTCTCAGAGTCAGGCCGTGATGTTGAGCCAGACCCCGGCTCCAACCCAGACCCTGCTGGGACACCAGCAGAGATCGTGGTCCTCCTGGACTCCGAGGACAACCCAACCCTTCCTAAAAGGATCCGGCCCAGGGGACTCCGCCCCCTCGAGCTTCCAGGTTAGTCAAGGAATATAGAGAGGGGTGGGGGGAGTGGGGACAGGTTGAAGCTCGGCCTGGGTTGCTCTTGGGAGAGTATCCTTGGGAGCCCAGTGGTGGGCTCCTAAAAGATAAAAGGCTTCTTTACAGCTCCCCCTGCCACAGAGCCAGGAAATAAGAAGCCCCGTGGCCAGAGATGGAAAGAGCCCCTTGGGGAAGAGCCTGTGAGAAAGAAGAGAGGCAGGCCTATGACCAAAAACCTGGACCGTGGTCCTCATCCTGACCCTGACCCAGGTGAGGAGAGGTCCAAAAGGGGGATATAGGCTCTGGTCACTGCGACAGGAAGTCCAGGTCAGTAAGGATGGAGTGGGCCGTGCTGAAGGTACCTGCAGCTCTCCTAAGGTTTGGGGCTCAGATCTTTGGGTTCCAACCTCCTTCTCTAAGTTCCTTCCTGTTCTTTCCAGAACCCCTGTCCCCTGACTCACCCACAGAGACATTTGCAGCACCAGCTGAGGTCCGACACTTCACCGATGGCAGCTTCCCCCCTGGCTTCGTCCTCCAGCTCTTCTCTCATACCCAGCTCAGGGCTGCAGACAGCAAGGACTTGCCTCAAGAGGGCAAAGCAGCAGCACCCCCAGCAGGCCGGGCCCAGACAGAAAGCTCCTCTCCAGGTGAGCCTTCCCCAGAGGGAACAGCAAGGAAGAGGTCAGCCTGGCAGCATCCCTGGCTTTGGGCTGCAGTAGAGCCCAGGGTGCTGGTGGTTGGTGCTCAGGGACGTGTGCTAAGGGTTAGGGATTAGGATGGGCGCAGCTGGCCAAAGAGTGCATGTTTCTGAATGAATGCCCTTTGGAGATTTCCTGGAGTTGGTTATTATAGTTAGTAGGCCACTGTCCCGACACCCAGCTGTACAGACAGATTGATTCTATCTGGAGCCTGAGAAGTACTCACCTTTCCCTGGTGGAGTAGGGACCCAAATAGGGGTGCTCAGCAATTCAAACAGGTGTTGAGAATAAACAGATGATGAGCAGTGAACAGACACCTGCATGGGGACCTCAGCTGAATAAACTGCTAATAACGGCAGCAGGGGGGGCAAGTGCTTATGTCTATATCATAGTCCATTGATTGGGGGCGGATACTGGAGATTGAACTTGGGATTTTGTGCTTGCGAGGCAGGCAGGAACCACTGAGCTAAATCCCCAGCCTGTATTCCATTGATTGTTAAGAAACTCATATGCAGCCAAGTATGGCAGTCTATGCCTGTAATTCCAAGCACTCTGGGAGACTGAAGCAGGAGGATCACAAGTTAAAGCCCAGCTTGGGCAATTTAATGAGACCATATCTGAAATAAAAAGGGGCTTGGGATGGGGATGTAGCTCAGAACAAAGGAACTGACCCCCAATGCCATCAAAAAAGAGAGAGAGTCCTATATGCTATTTATTTGGTCCTTACAAAAATACCTTAATAGCCAGGTGTGGTGGTGCACACCTGTAATCCCAGCACTCCCAGAGGCTGAGGCAGGAGGATAGCTATGAGTTTGAGACCAGCCTGGGCTACACAGTAAGTTCCAGATCAGTCTGAACTACATAGTGAGACCCTGTCTCCAAAAAACCAAAACAAAACCTTAATAGTAAAAGGAGAGGGGTCCATCTTCTTTCCCAGAGGGAGAAACTGAGTCTCCAAGACATAATTCCTTTTCATGTTCTTTGCATAAAAGTTTATTTGTGGCTATAACTGATTGCTATGAATTTAGTGGTGTATTCTTTTATGGTTATGTAGATGAATGGCCCAAAATGCATCACCCTAAGCTAAACTCCATATATTAGTGGGGCTGTGTTCTTTTGTGGAAGCTCTGGGGGCAGATCTGTTTTCTCATCTTGCCTGGCTTGTAGACACCTCCCACATCCCTTGGCTTCTGACCTAACATCCTCAAGGCCTCTTCCCTGTTATAAAGACCCTTGTGGTTATACAGGGCTCACCCTAGAAGAAGAAATACTTTTATTTCTTTCTTTTCTGAGGTGCTGGGGATTGAACCTACAGCCTCACCATGCCAGGCAAGCAGTTCTACCACTGACTCCCATCTCCAGCTCTTTCTATTCTGTGTCAGCAGAATTAGAAACCTTAATTCTTTTTTTCTTCTTTTCTTTTTTCTTTTTTTTTTTTTTCTTTTTTTTTTT